GTAGTGCAGGGGCTTGCAGATGGCAACATAGCGGTCATAGGACATGATGGTGAGAAGATAAATTTCTGTTGTGAACAATAAGACAAACAAGAACACCTGTGCAGCACATCCTGAGTAGATGGTCCTGGTGTCCCAGAGGGCATTGGCCATGGCTTTGGGCAGAGTGGTGGAGATGCAGCCCAGGTCGAGGAGGGCGAGGTTGAGGAGGAAGAAGTACATGGGGGTGTGCAGGCGGTGGTGGCAGGCTACGGCTGTGCTGATGAGGCCGTTGCCCAGGAGGGCAGCCAGGTAGATGCCCAGCAAGAGCCAGAAGTGCAGGAGCTGCAGCTGCCGCGTGTCTGCCAGCGCCAGCAGGAGGAACTCGCTGATGGAGCTGCTGTTGGGCATCTGCAGTTCCTGGGCATGCAGTCCTGTGCAGAGTGCAGAAGATAATGACAAGACCATTCTCAGAGGCACTCCATCTGCTACACCGTAAAAGTTTTTATTTCTTTTAAGGAAATGTTCATTTTACACCATAACTTGATTTTTTTTTTTTTTTTAATCTTTTCTTTTCATGAGATTCAGCATCCCTTTAGAAGTAGAAGCTTAAGGAACTCTTACTTTCCTCTAATTTCCTTATCATATCTCAGCTGCCTGGATATTTTCCTCTTACCATCAGTTTCCACATTTCATATTTTTACCCTGTCTGCACCCAGAGTGCCCATCCCAACCTGTGTGCACATAAATTTCTCATACAGAGAGCTGTCTGTTTCAGGATGATGCACTAGTCATCTCTGCAGAGAACGATGATAATTACAGCTGGTGCTACCCTTTGGGAGGGAAGAGGCTGAAAACACATAAGAGTATTGTTCACATAACGGCAGACTGAGAAATGTACAGAATCAGAGAATCACAGAAACACTAAGATTGGAAAAGACCTACAAGACCATCCAGTCCAACTATCCACCTATCACCAATAGTTCTCATTAAAACATATGCCTCAACAAAAAATTCAAACGTACCTTGAACACCTCCACGGACAGTGATGAATTCAGGGCAATTCAGCACAATTCAGGATTCTCAGAGATGTGTTCATATTTCACAGCTCCTTTCATATTTCTGTCTACAACTCTTTCCCCTTCCCTAGGAAAAGGAAAATCCCTGCCTTGTCTCTCCTCTTGCACGGTGCCCTAGACAACACCTTATGGTGCAGTGTAGCTGTGATCCCCCTGCCCCAGGCAGCAGCTGTGTCAGCAGTAGCCCCCTGCCCTGCCATGCCGCGGGGCTCCTTCCCCCCACACGTCTCCCCACAGCGCCCTGAGCAGCTCCCCGGGCAAGCTGAGTGCTGAGTGCTGAGCCTGGCAGGCGGCAGAGTCCCTGCCCCGGCACACAGCCCCTGGGGCACAGCAGGGACCTGCTCTGCAGGACAGCCCTGGGCACCCGGCTGCAGCCCCAGCTGCACAGCCTGCAGCCATCCTGGGACACGCAGCCCTCAGTGCTGTGCTCTGATGCTGCAGCACGGAAAACCTCAGCTGGAGCAGGTCTTTTTCCATGATAAAGAAGCATGAAGTTTATACATCCTGATCTGCAATGGGATGTCCCAGATTTATTCATCCCATCAGTTAAAGCAGATGCATTGTCTGCAGCAACTTACCTTGTTGAGGTCTGGGAGAAATGCTACTTCAGTGAGCTCACAGCCTTCTCACACTGTTCAAATCCTGTAATCTCACTTCCATCTCTCCTCTCCCTCTCACCTGCAGATCATGCCAGCAGCCCAGCTGCATGGTGCATGGGAGCTGCTCCTGGGCACAGCTGTCTGCAGCTCTGCCCACTTGTACGAGCTCCCTGTGTCCCAGGAGCCCAGACTAACTCTAAATTTCTAAATTAATCTCAGTAGCTACACTAGGACAAACATTCTGCATTGCTCCCAGCTGACCACTTCTTGTTTCCAATTCCTATATATGCTTTCTTTCTGTACTGTACACCACAGACACTTGAAGAAGACAAGGTGTGCTCTCCTGAAGCCAAAAGATGTGAGCTCGTCTTTTGTCCTCCCATTCAGACTCCTCAGCTCCACCATCCCATGGCCACTGCAGACCAGGTTCTCTTTGATCTTCACATTCCACATCATCCCTGCCTTGTTGGTGAGTATGAGATCCAGCAGAGCACCTCTCCTCTTTGGTTCCTCCATGGCTTGGTCAAGAAGCTGCCAGCTGTGCCCTCCAGGGACCTTCTTGATGGTATATGTCCTGCTGTGCTGTCCCTGCTGCAGGTAGTGGAGAGAAAAAGGCCTCCGAAGGGGACAAGGGCCTGACAACATGAGGCTCCCATCTGTCTGCAGAGGGCACCTTCCACTTGCTCTTCCTGATCAGGCAGCCAGGAGCAGACACTTTTGGTCTCCTCTGTTTGTCACTGCCATTCGCTCTGACCTGGCTGCTCTGCCATCCCCATCAAGAGCTCAGTGCATTCTCATACTTCCTTGTCTCCTTGCCCATCCATCGTAAAGACTCTGTATCCCCCTTGTGCTACAGTCCAGTTGTGGATGTCATTTAACCATGTCCCTGTGATCCAAACAAAACCTCAGGCCTGCAACTCTACTAACATTTCTAGCCCAGTGAGTATTGGTGATCCATTAGTGTAAAAAGACATACAGAAACATCCTAATTGGGAAGCATCATTGCTCTTAGCCTAAGTGGATAGCTCATCTATGGTATTTTTGTCCAGAAGGAGGCATATGGGCGTTAGACCCACTGTGGGACTCAGAATTGTCCAAGCAGCCACGGACACTCCTGGGCATGGCTTTCCTAGAGGCTCTGTGCAGCATATGCAGCTGCATGTGAGTGTGCTGGACAGCCCAGGGAACTGGCATGACACTAGGCTGCTTCTGATGCCATTCACATGAGAGCACATAGAAAACTGAGGCTTCTTCAGGTGAAGAACACAGATGTGTGTCAGCTCTGTAGTGCCTGGAGCTCCAGAATAGGCAGCAGATGGAGAACAGAGGAAGATCTGCCTCTTCTTTTGTGAGCTCATCCATTTAGACAGCTGAACAACTCTGCATGCTCCATGGAGATGAGTAAAAAAGACAGTGCCCTAAATGCAGTGGTCTGTTGTCATTTAGGATGGCCAAGAATACCTCTGTTCCATCTCTTGCCCTCAGCTGATGCTCAGGAAGGAGGTGTCTATCTCAGGAATTTCCCACACACTTTACAAGCACTAGCACACATCCAGGAGCACCCCAGGCACCTTGGTCATCACCCAGGGTCTGTGTGTGAGCAACTGACTCTCCACTGGAGGACCAAGGACTCAGAGCAGGAGCTCACATGCAGGCAACTCTTTGTGCATATCTGAACTGAACCAGAGAAATCCCAAACCTATTTCCGCCATAGGGTTTCTATCCAGGGATGAGATGCCAGCACTGCCTCAGCTGGATCACTGCCCTGCCCAGTGGAAGTCTACCCCTCCCTGTCCTTGTCTGCATGCCCTTTTTGTTACAGCAAACACTCACTGAAGGACTAACTGTATGTCCGAAATTAGTTACTGTCCACTGGACATTTGGTGGTTAATGCAGCAGATTTCAGAGTACAATCATGACACTGTTGTCTTTCAGGAGCTGTTGGCCATGGAGACCCAGGCACATCTCCAGAGAGATCATTGGGAGGATAGAAATCACATCCTCTGCTGCTGAGCTGTTCTGGGCTCCTGGGACACAGGGTGCTCCTACAAGTGGGCAGCGCTGCAGAGAGAGAGCTCTAAGAGCAGCTCCCATGTACTGTGCATCAGTACTAGGGGCACGTTCTGAGGTGACATGAAGATAGAAGAGAAAGGAGAGAGGGATTACAGGATGTGTGGGGTGTGAGCAGACTGCGACCTCACTGCAGGAGCATTGCTTTTAGCCACTGACACGGTAAGTCTCTCACTATAGGTAATGCAAACACTTTTCCAAGAGGGATCACCAAATCTGGCACATCCCAGTGCAGATCAGGCTGCATACACCCAGTGTTTCTTTATCATGGAATAAGAGCTGTTCCAGATGAGGGCATCCCTGCTGCAGCGTCAGAGCACAGCTCTGAGGGCACATCAAAGTGCATTTTACTTCTCAGATATATCAGAGATATATATATATCTCTGAGATATATCATATCTCAGAGATATGATCAGGGAATTACCCCCTTCAGTGCAGGGACCTTCTTCTGAACAAGCTCCCACCCACAAACGCCTCCGCCCTCATGACCATGGGGTCCGATGTGTGAACCACCTCCTGTGCAGGCAGAGCTCCAGCAGAGCAGAGCAGCATCTCCCCAGGCACGTGTCCATCACCCTCTGCAGTGCACAGGGGCTGAAAGCCACTGCATGGTGCTGCGGGCAATGCAGTCTGTGAGGCTGGGAAGGAGCTGGCTTTCCCTTAATGAGATGCCATCATTAGAACACATCTCCCTGAACTGTCCTTCAGAGCTGTGAGCTGACCTACAGGATGCAAATCTTTCCCATAGCCTGGAGATCAAAGTGCAGAGAAGAAGCAGAGAGATGCAATATGCAAGGAAATGCTGGTGAAATGAACATTAGGTTTCCTTTGCAAGACGTGTGGTGATGAGGCACTGCTGAAGTAAGTTGAGAAATGGTGAATGCACAGTGATGAACAGTGGACTCCAGTTTTCTGAGCTGGGTCTGACTTCATAATTTTATGGGAATGCAATTGTCTTACATTTGCAAAGTAATCAAGCTCAGAGCAATTGGAAAGAAACCCAGTCAGCTCTCTTTACCCTGCACTAAGCAGCAGTGAATCCCTTTGCCTTTCAGGTCTTACAGCTGTTCAGACTTCAGCAAACACTCCATAGGCATGGTGAGCAGGATGAGAATTTGTAGGAAAAAGCAATTCCTAGAACTTCTATTTTTGACCAACATATTTTTGGCACAGCTGCAGCAGAGCAGAGTAGGATCTCCAAAGGCACGTGTCCATTGCCCTGTGCAGTGCACAGGGGCTGAGAGTCACTGCCTGGGGATGTGGGCAATGCAGTCCCACATATTTTTGGCATTTATGTTCAGATGCTGACCAGCACTTCTACATTAGAAGTGATTTTATCTGATACTTTCTGAAATGGAAATCTGTCCACGCACAATCACCATGTTCCCAAGTACCCATAGGGACAAGTCTGCTTCATTGAGATAAAAAGTGCAGAGTCCCTCATGCCAAACTCAACCTCATGAAATGTAGATTACATCACGGAGCTGAATGAACACAGCCTACATACAAAGACTTGTCCTTGACTTTTTCCTCCTTGAACAGGTCCTGGTGCCAAGAAGTACCAGATGCCCAACAGCAGCTCCATCAGTGAGTTCCTCCTGCTGGCGTTGGCAGACACGCGGCAGCTGCAGCTCCTGCACTTCTGGCTCTTGCTGGGCATCTACCTGGCTGCCCTCCTGGGCAACGGCCTCATCAGCACAGCTGTAGCCTGCCACCACCGCCTGCACAGCCCCATGTACCTCTTCCTCCTCAACCTCGCCCTCCTCGACCTGGGCTGCATCCCCACCACTCTCCCCAAAGCCATGGCCAATGCCCTCTGGGACACCAGGACCATCTCCTATGCAGGATGTGCTGCACAGCTCTTTTTCTTTTCTTTTTTGCTTTCAGCAGAGTATTCCGTTCTCACCATCATGTCCTATGACCGCTACGTTGCCATCTGCAAGCCCCTGCACTACGGGACCGTGATGGACAGCAGAGCTTGTGCCATCATGGCAGCAGCTGCCTGGGGCGCTGGGGCTCTCCATGCTCTGCTGCACACTGCCAGTACATTTTCAATACCACTTTGCCAAAACAATACCGTGGACCAGTTCTTCTGTGAAGTAGCCCCGACCCTCAAGCTCTCCTGCTCAGAATCTGACTACCTCAGGGAAATTGTGAATGTCTATTTTAGTCTTTGTTTAATCATTGGTTGTTTTGTATTCATTGTTGTGTCCTATGTGCACATCTTCAGGGCCGTGCTGAGGATGCTCTCCAAGCAGGGACGGCACAAAGCCTTCTCCACGTGCCTCCCTCACCTGGCCGTGGTCTCCCTGTTTCTCAGCACTGCTATGTTTGCCTACCTGAAGCCACCCTCTATGTCCTCCCCATCCATGGACCTGGTGGTGGCATTTGTGTACTCGGTGGTGCCTCCAACACTGAACCCCCTCATCTACAGCATGAGGAACCAGGAGCTCAAAGATGCTCTGTGGAAACTGATGGACAAAGGCCATACAATGACTTTGTCTTCCTTCCTGTAAGACATTGCTGGAGCTTTCGGGGTCAGCTGTTCTCAGCACCCTATAATCCAGCAGGAAGCATACAGCTGTTAATCAAACTGTGTGGTGACTGCAGCCTGCAATAGCTGACGGGCCATCCCTTGGCGCCTGGCTGGGGTCTGTGCTTTCAGGCTCACATCTGTCAGTGCCTCTGACAGGCCAGCAGCAGCACCTGGTTTGCATGTTGGTTGTCAGATCCCCTCTTCCTCAGTTCCTATGAAGCCTTGCATAGGAAAATGTCTTGGTTATGGGTTCTCATCTCAGAGGCTCAACATATTACATGAAGTCTCCCTTCAGTGCATCTTTCCATTTGCCACACAGAGGTGGGCGCTGCCTCCACAATGCCCTAGGGTAGCTGAAGCACACATGAGAGCCCAGGAAAGGTTGCCCAGGTCTCTCATGAGACATTCTGGAGCATGAATTTGTAGGTAGGAAGTGCAACTCTGCGGTAGCGCAGAGCTGCTGGGCAGGTGGTGCAGGTCCTCCTGCAGTATTTTGTGTCCTTCTCCTTCCTGAGTCAGGTGCCACTTCCATCTCAGGAATGGAACAGCCAACAGAGGTGAGACAGAAACTTTTCAAGAAAAGGCTCAGTGTTGCACTGAGAGACAGAATTCAGTGGTGTGGTGGCACTGTGTTGAGCTGAAGCTCAATCCCATAGACCCTCAGCATTGCAGCTCCTGTGGCTTGGTGACAGTGCTGCTGTGTGGCTGCAAACACAAGCAAGGACACGCAGTGGGCACTTCTGTCACACAGTCTGTTTCCACCACAACAAGTCCATTGTTAACGGAGATCTCCTCATGGCAGTGCCTGAAGGCTCTGGGCTTCATTAAATGTTGCTGACAAGAACATTCCCAAGGATTGGACTGCACAGATTCCCAGTCTTACTCTCCCACTCATGCTAAAACCAAGTTTTAGTTGCTAGCATTACAAAATTGTATTTAACAATTGTTAAATACCCTCACTGCAGCCCAAAACAGAACGCTAATCCGTAATGCTTACCTGTACCCTTACACTGTCCTGAAAACCTTAGCAGAACACCAAGCCCTCTTACTACACATTTGCTTAAACTCTGCCTCAAAAGGTGAGTTCTAACCCTTAATCCCTATCCTGAACACACAACGGCCACAGACCCTGCTCCTCTGCTCTGCCTTCCTCACCTTCAACCCCTCCCCTAACGCTAAACTTTGGGTACTTGGCTCTGCAGGGCAGAGCAGGAATGGTGGAGTCTTAGTCCATTTAATGCAGTGATGAATGTGAGGTGATGTGTGTACAGGAGGTGACGTGTGACTGATCGGCTTGAGGCCATAAGGAGGAGGTGGGTAGGAATGCTGCCATGAGCTCAGCTCTACCTCAGGCCCTCATGGGCCTGCAGGTGGCACGAGGCTGTGAAGGTGGCTGTGAGATCACAGAGGAAGAAGGAGGTTTGTGTAAGGGATTGTGATGGCTCTTCTGTGTGAGTACACAACTCGATAGCAGGAGGGACACATGGCTTTGTGTTTCAAGGGACGTTCAGAGGGGCTTGAGAGACATCAGTGACATGATTGCAGTGCCAGGGTCAGAGCACGGCGGAGAGGAGAGGTGGGTTTCTGCAGACCACAGGGAAATAGGGGCTGGGCTGGAAAGCATTGGAAATCCTGCAGAGGAGAAGGCAGTGGGTGCTGGTGAGGATGGAGGGCCCCAAAGCAATAAGGTCTTTGTCCCCTTGGCTATGGTTTGTGAGGAGATTTATTATGCTTATGGTAATGGGTCCTCAATGCCTCCTTGCATCTCTTTGCAGAGACTGGGAGGTGTCACACCACTGTCCTTCACATGGAGTACACAATCCGCCCCACCACACCAACCCCAGGATAAACTCTGAGCTCATTCCCTCAGATACGATGGATCTCCCCTTCAGGGTCTGGATGTCAGGCCTTGTCTTTCTTCATCAAACAAACCAGGAGATTTCTCAGCACAATGCTTTAGCTAACTTTAATCATTACCTCCAATTCCCTGCTCTAACAAGTCCAAGGGGAGGCTGTGTTGGTAATGTCCCTCAGTGGGCCCCATTAGTATGCCAAGATCCCTCATCTTTTTCTTCCAACTTTACTTTCTCAAGTGCTTGCAACATTCTCCACTCAATACCTGAGGTTCTTAGACCTGACGTCAAATGTACCACGGGTCTCTCTGAAGTACAGCAAGTTGCAATGAGCCATGTCTGTTCCATAATGTGTTTGAAGTCAAGATTTATACAGACAGTTGGTGAGCTTTCATAATGTAGTAAAGAAAAAAGACTTCAAAGTGCACCCAATAAAAATGTTTTGTGATTTAAAGTAGTGCATCTTGTTGTTTTTGGAGCATCATTCTTTTGGAGAGGATCCAGAGGAGAGCCATGGAAATGATCAGGGTGTTGGAACACCTCCTCTACTAAGACAGGCTGAGGGAACTGGGCTTGTTCAGCCTGGAGAAAAAAAGGCTACGGGGTGACCTCATTGCAGCCTTTCAGTAACTAAAAGGAGCCTACAAACAGGAGGGGAAAATCATATCTTTGAATCTTTCTCTAGGTAACAGTAGGACAAGGGAAAATGGTTTGAAGTTGAGGGAGGGGAGATTTAGGTTGGATGTCAGGGGGAAGCTCTTTACTATGAGAGTGGCGAGGTGCTCGAGCAGCTGCCCAGAGAGGTTGTGGATGCCCCATCCACCCTTGGAGGTGTTCAAGGCCAGGTTGGATGGGGCCCTGGGCAGCCTGGACTGGTATTAAGTGTGGAGGTTGGTGGCCCTGCATGTGGCAGGAGGGTTGGAGATTCACAATCCTTGAGGTACCTTCCAACCCTGGCCATTTTGTGATTCTGTGATTCTCCAATTGATGTTAATCCAGAGAGTCTCCTAAGGAGATCTGCATAGGCAGGAAAAGCAATTGCTTGAGGCAGTACGGACAATCTGACTGCTCACCTCCCCAGGCCTGACGTATCTGCTGTATGCCACCTGGCACTTGCATCACTTTTCCCTACAGCAGAATTCTCCACTGAAGTCTGCAGCTGGATGTTACGGTTTCTTTACACCGTTCCTTCACCTGCTTTCCTTAGAGAACTGACTGCACACAGGCACAGGATGTTGCTTCCTACTTTGAAACAAACAACAGTAAAACAGTACAATTTCCCTGGAAAGAGAACATACTCATCAACCATATCCCAACAGCATGGTTCACCTTCCCAATAGGATAAGGTAGATAGGAAATGATAAACATTAATAGGAAAAACATTCAAATTGAAGGATAAATGATAAGGAGCAAAACCCCACTGTGTGATCACAAGCATCCCATGCCATCTCCAGGGGCCCCAGAGGTCCTGTCTGGGACAGGCAGCTTTCTAAGAGGACCTGCAGGAGACCCCTAGAACTGCAGATAGAACTTGGGAAGAAGGTCTCAGGCCAGTAACTGCCAACAATTGTCTTTGTCCCTGTAGCTGCAGCCCAACCCAGTGCACTCAATGCCCCCCGACAAGTCAGTGGAGCCCTGAGAGTGACCCAGCACTGAAATGGCCACTGGGAAGCCAAGAAACTCTGATTTATTCTCAATAAACACAAACATCCATGAACCATTGTGGGTCATTGGTGTCAAACTCAGCCTGAAAGACTCAAGTATAGGTCACAGTCACTGCGGTGAAACCCATCACATTCAAGGAGGAGAAGTTAAATAATTTAAAACATACAAATAGGCTACTAACAACTTATGTATAGCCAGCATTGAAAATAGATGTCACACACTGCAAGAGTATCCTGCCCAAATTAAAAGGACAATTTGTTACATGGCTCAGGGAGTGCCTGAAGAAGGTATTGAGGAAGATGGGGCACCTCCCCTCCGTACCCTTTGTTTAACAAGGACTCTGAAGAAAATCACCATATCAGTATGAACAAGAAGAGTGTTGAGACATCTTCAGGGCTGACACCCGATAACAAACAAAATAACAGTAATTAACAAATGTGAACCTTTGATACGATGGTGAACCTGGGGTACCCAGCCAGTGGGGAAACAGGGGAGGCAAGGGGGGAAGAACAGGGTATGCAGACTGTCATGTTGTGTCCATAGGTGCTCCTGCCTGTGGGACGCCCACCGTTGCAATTGCGACTAAAATCTGCTTTTCTCAGAGATCCCGTCCTGACAAAAATCACTGGGATGTTTCCAGCATCTGCAAGGGGTGCCTGTGTGTGTGTCTGTGTGAGCGTGCTGAACGAAACTGACAGGGCCGTGTGCTGCTCTGGGTGCGTGGTCTGCTCGCCTCTGCTCCTGAGACAGCCTGTCTGTCAGCTCCAAACGTACCCTGGGACGGAAAGACAGACAGACAGCTAAAGGCGGTGCAGAGCAGTGGGATCGCACACGTGCACGCGCACAAGGATATTTCCTCGACGGCATCTGTGTGTGAGCGTGCAAAAGGGCTGCGTTGCACACGTGTCTGCACGCGCGTGTGTGCCTGCATAACCACGGCTGGGAGCATCGGGGTCTTTGCACGTGGCTGCGTGGTTTTGCACACAGCTGCACGCTCGTGGGTGGTGCGTGCGCATGGGTGTGTGTGAATGCAGAGGGGTGTGTCCGAGTACCTCTTTGCACTCGTGTGCACGGTTCTGCACACACGCGCATTCCGACGCTCCCAGGGGCCGTGGAAGCGGAGCGGGCGCACGGCGACAGGCATCGCCGCGGGCAGCCGGGCCGGGGCCAGCCGAGACGCCCGCGGTGATGACGCAAAAACCTCGCGACCGCCCATGCAAAGGACCCCGCGCGAAGCGCCCACCCCGTTCCGCGACCCGACCAATGGCAGTGCGGCGGGGGCGGGCCGAGCACGGGCTCTCCGCCAATGGCTCTGCGCGTGCATCGATTAAACATCGAACTTACGTTTCCCGGCGGTTCTGCCCGTGGTCGTTTCTGCAGCTCCGATAACCCGCCCCGTCCCCGCGCCGGGTGAGGACGGGGCGGCGCGAACGGCTGTGTCATAGGATGCGAGCGCCGGCCCCGTCGCTGCCCCCGCATCCCCTGCCCTCCTCAGCACCGCGTGGGAAATGGCTGGGCTGGGATTTTGGGAGAGCCGGGGCGGCTCAGCCCGCAGAAGAGGAGGCTCGGGGGGATCCCGGGCACGGCCGTCGGTCCCGAGAGGACGGAGCTAGGCTGCGCCCGGCGGTGCCCAGCGGCAGGACCGGAGGCTCGCACTGCAGCACAGCGAGTTTCCCCGCGGCGCGGCCGCCGCCGCGCCGCTTCCCCCTGCTTGCACCAGGCAGGCTGCACAGCCCGTGCAGACGGCGCACAGTCAGAGGTGCCCGTGCCATAGAGCGCGTCCAGCAGCTGGGGGATGTTGGGGTGGTTGCAGCGGGCCGAGAGCTGCGGCTCCTCCAGCTCCTCCTCGCTGCTACCGTCAGTGCCCCCGTCGCCCTGCTTTGTGCCCGGGGAAGGAGATGGTCACGTACTGAGCATTGCGTGTGTTGGCATGGGGGCACTGGGCAGGACTGGTGGCCCTGGGAGGCTGCCAAGGGCCGCAGGAAGCGCTGGGCACGTGTGGAGCTCTAGGTCAGTTCTGGGCTCTGCAGCTCCAGGCAGCCTCTCCTGTGCAAGCGCTGCAGGGAAGCTGCTCAGGGGGAGGTTGTACTGCGCTCATCTCCAGAGGTCCCTTCGAGCCCCTGTGCTTCTGTGACAGGCGGATGTGTGAAGGGAGACGGCCAGCAGGTGGAAGTTTGGTGGCTTTGCAGAGTGAGAGCACCACAGCCCTGCGATGCCACCGCGTGTTTGAGCGTCATCAGCCACGTCCCTCCCTTTGTCTCCATTCACTGCAATGGGAGCTGAGTCGAGTGCACCTGCAGGGCTGGGGCACCCACGGCCTGTCTGGGCAGCAGTGCCAGGGCCTCGGCTGCCTCTGCGATGCACTTCCCTGACATCTAATCCAAATCTCCCCCCTTTACATTAAAACCATTCCCCTTTGTCCCATCACCATCTCGACACGTAAAAAGTTCATTTCCATCATGTTTATCATCTCCACTGAAACAATGGAAGGCCACAATGAGCAGCCACAGCAAGCGTTGGTGACGGGGCAGGCAGAGAGCAATGCCTGTGACAGTGTCACAGAGAATCCTTGTGAGCTCAGGGGAGAGGGGCTGACCTCAGCGGTCACGGAACCCCCCGCTGCCACTCTCGAGCTCCCGCAGCAGGTAAGGCAGCGGGCTGCTCTGTTCCTGGCACTGCAGCCCTCTGGGTGATCCCAGTGCCCCAGATCTCACCCCGGCGCCCATTTGGGCATTTCCCCACAGAGAGAATCCCTTCAGGGACTTTGACAGTGCTTCCAACACCCAACGCCGCTTTCTTTGGATCCTTTGTGCCACCACCGGCCACTGCTGCAATGCAGCCCAGCATTGGCAGAGCAATGCTGGTGTCACCGCAACCCCTCCCTGTCCCCAGTGTCACCCACGTGGCACCTCAGGCCTCTGTCTGGCCTGGGCTACCAGGCGTCCAGGGACAGGGAGCGCAGCTCCCACCTGGGGGGCTGCCTCCAGCTGTGGTTCAGCTGCCACCCGGGGGGCAGCACTTACCACTGCTGCAGCTGCTACCTTGGGAGCTGCACCCAGGCATGGCTCCCCCCATGGCCCCTGCCCACTGCTGGGGACATTCCCTGCTGGCAGGGACACCGCAGCCCCAGCAGCCGATGGGGCTGTGGCCTGGGGCTGTGTTCCATGGGGAGCCCCCGCAGTCCGCAGGCAGCTGCCTACTGCAGGCCTCCAGCAGCCCCGTCCTTCTGCCAGCACCTTCAGTGCAGCAGCAGGTGCTCCCCGTGCCCTGCACGCTGCCCACCAGCTGGGAGCAGGCGGTGGGGCCCTTTGGAGATGCTGTGGTGCTCACGGAGGACCAGGGGCACCCAGTGCCCACCGACGTGTGCCCCCATCCCACCACGGCTCCGCTCACCTGCAGCACCGCAGCGCTGGAATCAGGTGGTGAGTTTGGGGGCTGCAGAGTGGGCGGCAGGCTGTCCGCACCGGCTGGCTGTGGGAAAGCTGGCATTGCCCCACTGGGGGTTTTCTTGCTTTTCTAGCAGCGACAACAAGCGCAGACATCTCGCAGGACATCACGGACATTGATGAGCTCCTGACATGGATGAACAACGGTGAGTTTGGGGGCAGCAGAGCTGGCAGGGAGGTGTTCGCATTGAGTGGGCGTGGGAAAGCTGGCATTGCCCGTGTGGGGATTTTCTTCCCTTTTCCAGGAGTGGAATCCACCACAGAGATCCCAGATGACATCCCAGACATGGATGACCTCCTGTCGTGGGTCAACAATGGTGAGTCTGGGGACTGCACAGCTGGCCAGGGGGTGTCTGCATTGGGTGGCTGTGGGAATGATGTGATCATCATTCTGGGGGATGTTCTTGCTTTTTCAGAAGTGACGAGTCCTCTGGAGGTCCCCCAGCAGAACCAGGACCTGGTTGATGTCCTAGCAGAGGGAACAAAACACACTGAGACAGTGGAAAATGGTCACGATGAGCTGCTGCCAGAACTGAACGCCCAGGAAAGGGCAGAGCTGCTGCAGTGGATTGATGCCACGCAGCCACCGAGCCCAGCTGTCCCCAGCAGCCTCAACAGCTCTCCTTTCATCGCAGCGCTCCCTGACTTTCCCTGGGCCAGCACGGAGCTCAGCAGAGAGGCAGAGGCTGATGCCAGGCCCATCAGCGACCTGTTCTGGAGGCAGCCAGCATGCTGTGGGCAGCTCTCTGAGTCGCTGCCTTTTGGGCATCTGATGGAAGAGGCACGGCAGAGGCAGCCCCGGGTGGTTCTCACCCGCCTGGCGCTGCCACCCGGCTGTATCTCCTGCCACGTGCCAGACGACCCCCACGGGGATGGCACCGGGCCAGCCGAGTGCCCAGCGCCCGCCTGCACCACCGGGAAAGACAGGAGCAGAGGGCACGAGCAGCGCGCTGGCAGCGTCCCAACCAGAAAGAGGAAGCTGCCCCTGGGCCAGGACGCTCCAGGACAGAAACGCCGGCTCCAGGTGAAGCTGGGTGGGCTCAGCACGAGCGGGACCATCCACAGAAACCGGCCCACGTGGTGCAGCAGGAGGCACAGCCATAGCCAACAAACAAGGCTACCTGTAGCCCTGGGCTCCTCGCCGGCCCCAGTGGCACACAGAGAGCAGCAGCAGTGCTCCAGGGGCACCAGCACCGGCCCCAGCCCTACCCCTCCAAACCTGGGCTTTCCACAAATGCCATCTTGGACTAGGACGATGTAGGACTGTGTTAAATTACGTTGTGTTAAATCCTGTTAGATTCTGTTCAGTTATGATCAATTATGTTATTTTACATTATGTTATGTTATTAAATGTTTTGCATTCACTTTCCTACGCCTCCACCTGCAGTTGTTCATGCAGCACCAAAGCCCCCCCAGGGCCCCTGCAGGCACCTGTGGGCAGGATGGGGCAGCACAAAGGGCCGTGTACCAGGGCTGCCCCTGATGGCCCCATCCCGCCCCTCCAAAATCCCCTCTCCCCCTCAGTCAGCACTGCCTGGGAATGTAGGGATGGGGAATGGTTGGGGTGGGATTCTGGGAGAGCTGGGGCAGCTCAGCCTGCAGAAGAGGAGGCTCGGGGGATCCCGGGCACAGCCATCAGTCCCTGCAGGGAGGTGCAGAGAGGACGGAGCCAGGCTGCACCCAGCAGTGCCCAGCAGCAGGACTGGAGGCTCGCACTGCAGCACAGCAGGTTTCCCTGTATGTCACCACTGAGCCCCCAGCTTGGATCAGCACTGTTTGATATTTTTGCCCATGATCAGGATCACACAGAATCACATACAGAATTGCCAGGGTTGGAAGGGACCTCAAGGATCATGAATCTCCAATCCCTCTGCCACATGCAGGGACACCAACCTTCCCACCTAATGCTAGACCAGGCTGCCCAGGGCCCCATCCAATCTGGCCTTGAACACCTCCAGGGACGGGGCATCCGCAACCTCTCTGGGCAGCTGTTCCAGTACCTCACCACTCTCTCTGTAAAGAATTTCCCCCTGACGTCCAACCTAAATCTCCCTTCCCTCAGCTTAAAACCATTTCCCCTTGTCCTGCTGTCACTCACCCTTTCAAAGAGTTGATTCCCCTCCTGTTGTAGGCTCCCTTTAGGTGCTGAAATGCTGCAATGAGGTCACCCCGCAGCCTTCTTTTCTCCAGGTTGAACAAGCCCAGCTCATTCAGCCTGTCCTCATAGGGGAGGTGCTCCAGTCCCCCGATCATCTCTGTGGTTCTCCTCTGGACCCTCTCCAACAGTTCCCTGTCTTTCTTGTACTGTGGGCTCCACACTTGGACGCAGTACTCCAGATGGGGCCTCACAAGAGCAGAGTAGAGGGGAACAATCACCTCCCTGTCCCTGCTGGCCACCCCTTTTTTGATGGAGGATGCAGGAGATGAGTGCATCCTCGTGAAATCCAGCGGGCATCCTAAGGCACGAGGTGCTGCTGGCACTCCCGAGGTTTTTAAGGGGTAGCAGGGAAGACTGGCGGGCTCAGGGCAGTAGCTGGGGGCTCTCGAAGGGACTTTGAGGTGCCGTGGGTTCAGAATCGCGGTTTTTCCTCCTGTTTCACACAGAAGGTGGCAGTTTGGCTCCGCACCTCGAGGTGGCAGCAGGACCCTCAGCAATGGAAACGTCCGCTGCCCAGAGCCCCGTGTCTGGCTGTGGGAAAGATGGAGGGTGGAATAAACGTAGAACGTGCACAGGAGGTTATCAGATGAATTCAGCGTTGGCACCAAGCTTCCCCCAGCAGCTCTTTGCAGGCAGCTCAGTCATCGTGTTTTATTCTCTCCTCACCTCTCCAAAGCATTATCCTCATCTGCCAGCAGCTGTTACCCCCGACCTTGTCACTGGGCAGTGCTTCAGCAGCACCAAGTTGCCTCTGTGGCTCTCATTCACCTCACTGCATTAGCACTCAAATGCTATTCTCATTAAACTACTTTCTTTCCTTCCTGTTCCAAATAAAATATTTGTCAGGCTAGAGAAATAGAAGGCTGAATTTGGCACACGACAGTCTGCAAAATATTGCACCACAGGGAAGCAATGCTGAAGGCCGAGAGGTCTGTGCTAAGGAGCGCATCTGCAAGACAAAAGGGAAATACCACCCTGCAGCCTTCTCCTTTAAAGCACAAGGGAACACCTTAGAAAGACAGAGCACACTTCATAAGCTCAAAATCCAGCATGTCAAGCTGGCAAGAGAGGATTCTGAACTGCCATCCTTTACGCTTCCCTCCACAGTGGGGTCTGGCACGCAGAGCTGGGTAGGAACTTACTGGCACTGGCAGGGCCCTTTCTTGCAGCACTCCTTCTGATATTTAGGATTAAAATCATAAAGAAATCATAACAGAAGTTCTCTGTGAAAACTACACGTAATGTTGTTCCTTCCACAAGCAAACAATCCCAATACATGCTAGTAAAAATTCCTGCACCAAAAATCAGCAAAGATGGCATGCAGGACAGAAATAGGTAGTGTGCGTGTTTAAAGGCATTTTAGAGCCTGATGGCTCTTGCTACAGCACACCTGGCTCACGTTAAAAGCTGAACAGTCACAAGAATACCTGTTTCCATCAGCAGCCATCATCTAGAACAGCCAGACTTCTGAGGTCGCCTGGCCCAAACGTTCCTTTTTCTCAGCACTTTATTCCTGCAAGAGGGATTTGATCACGGCACGTGCGTCAGTCTTCAAACAGCCCATCCTAGCAGCAAGGAGCAAGGAGTGGCACTAATCCTTCTTCACTGGTGGGAATCTCAACAGAAGCTGTTGTGCTAAAGGTGTGAGGTTAAGGGAACATCCCTATCAAGATACAAGTCTTAGCATGGAAGGTTTAGTTATGGCATGCTGACCAGGAGAAAAAAATATCACTGTTACCTCGTACTTTTTTCTTTTTCTCTCTCTCATCATGAAGATCTGAGGATGACCAAAGCCTGTTGCCGTGAGCTTTGCTGAACCCATCAATGCTGTGGCTTAGAGGTATGACATCAGCACATGGCATAGGAGAACTCTGTAAGCTAAGTGACAAGGGAAGACCCCAGGGCCTGAATCCACAGCCAGGGATGCTGACGGCGGCCATGGGGCCTGGAGCCGAGAAGAGCACTTGCTGACACAAGCCATGCAGTCAGACACAAGCTGGAGCTAGGGTTGGGCAGCTCTTGCAGCCAGCTGATTTCCAGACATTGCCCTCCTCAAGAGACTGAATTGCGTGGCAGAAGAAAGGTGGGAAAATGCTTCTTCCTCACAATTTGTCACTTGTCGATACTTTCTGCAGGGTTCCTGTCCAAAAGGCGAGTTTGGGGATCGAGGCAGTCTGAGGAAGAGTGAAGCCAGCTCTTTCCAAGAGCGGGGGTGCCCTCGGAACTTCAGCTTCCTCTGACACTTCACTGGTCATGTCTCAGCGAGGAGAGGACTGCTATTCCTATTTCTGCCTTGTGAGTGGAAAGATATGGCTGGATGTCTTTTTCTTGGTATTTTTTTTTTTTTTTTCTCATTTGTAAGGGAAGGGCTGTGGCAGGAGGAGCCCTTCTGGTCCTTTGTGACCTCAATAAGTGTTTGGATTCTGTGCTCACTGGGCTAATGATGTGCACATGGCTCAGGCTGTATTTTCCCTTAGTGATAATTAACATCTCAGCACTCTGATATCCTATCTCCGGCACAATCTGGAAGCTCTCTGCAAACCTTGGCTGCTGTTCCCTCCAACATTTCTTCCTTTCTCTCTTCAGAAGCAGTGCTGCACGGTTCCCTGTGTTTGGGAACAGCAGCCAGCAGGCTGCCAGAGATCCAACTGCGCCTTGCAGCGCAGAGAGGGACGCGAAGGGGATGGACCGTCCTTCCTGCCATGCAAGAGTGAGTTTCTTCAGTCCTCTGTCATGAAGGATGGAAGGATGAATTTTGAGTATTGCTTCTGGGTGGGTGCAATGCTGCAGGAGGTGTCGAGCCACCTTCCATTTGGATGCAGGAAGGAGCAGTGAGAAGTGAACTATCAGTGTGTGTTTTGGCTGTCAAAGTAGCATCTTTCTGTTTTCTGGGGGGACGTGGGCTTACTGGACAATACTTCTGCTGCTTGCTGGTGTCTGTGAAATCAACACACAGTCTGTTGTAGGGACGGAGCCTGCGCGCCCATGGAATGGTGCAGGGCAAGGAGGGAAACAGAAAGCCTCCGCTGGTAAGAAGCTCTTGTGAGCTGTGATGTGGGTACCTGCCTTTAAATAGGGCTGCGTGAAGGGCAGTGTGTGTGAGGGAGGGGAGAGGAAAGGGCATGGCAGTTCTGTGCTGACTGCAGAACTGGCACAACATTGGAGCAGCGGAAAGGCAACTTGAAGAACCTGCTCTCGAAGACCTGAATTTTGTGGCTGGCTGGGCTCAAACCTTCCTCCACGGAGATGCCCTTCATGTCTTTGTTGTCTCCTTTCTGTCAGAAGCTGATGCAAACTGCCTTCCAGCAAAGCGCAGCCATGTGGAAAGCCAGGGGAGGAGCACAGAGTGTGGCACAGCACCCAAGAGAGGTACAGACACACAGCAGGCATCTGGGTTTGGTGCACTGCATTTCTAGTTAGGCTTTGTGCCTGTTCTTTCCTGGGACTGATCTCATTGCGTGTTGCTTTGGACCTTAATCCCTGGGCTTTGCAGTTACCTTTCCTGTCCTGATTTGTAATGGGAACCCAACGTTCACCCGAGATCCCTTACCGTGAACATGGTATGGGAGAGCTGGCATTGAGCCTTTGGGACTTTCTTGCTTTTCCCAGCAGTGACGGATGTGCCAGAGGACATCACAGACATTCAGGGTTTGCTCTCTTGGATCAGTGGTGAGTTTGGGGGGCTGCAGAGCCTGCAGGCGCGTGTTTGCACCGAGTGGGTATGGGAAGGTTATCATCACATTCTGAGGGATTTTTGTTCTTGCTTTTCCAGAGGTGGCAAGAGCTGTTGAGGTCCCCCATGAGAAGCGCAGCAGCTCTGCCCCAGAACGCCTCATCGCTGAGCTTCCTGACGAGCCCAGGGACAGCAGAGAGCTCAGCACGGAGGCACAGGCTGCCACCGGAACCCCCACTGACCCCTTCTGGGGGCTTCCACCATCCCCTGGGTTCCTGCCTGAGCTGCAGTGTGGGTTGTCACAGCTGCACCCCGTCGTGCCACCAGCGAGTGCCCGGCTCAGCCCACGGCCGACCACCCTGGCTGTCAGGACACCTCCCAAAGCAGCCCAAAGCACACAGCCCATCAAGGAGGTGCAGAAAAGGCAGCCCCAGGAGGTTCCAGCAGAAAAGAAGAACAGGGGCAGCACCAAGCGGGCCAAGCGCCCTGTGCCTGCTGGCACCTCCCAGAAAGGGGAGAGCTCCCAGCAGGAGCAGCCCAGCAGCAGCGCCCCAGCCAAGAAAAGGAAGCTGCTGCCATGCAAAGAAAGAAGAGAAAGACAAGGCCGCAAACACCTGGGCCAAGCGAAGCTGTCTGGGGCCAGCGCAGGAGCCAGCAGCAGTGGGCAAGCGGGCACTGCCAGCGAGCTGCGCGTGCACTTGTGCGAATCCATCCGGGCCGTGCACCCGCTGGGGCAGAGGGTGACTGCGGTGGGGCCGGTGCGCCAGCCACCCTCTGTGCAGCCCCAGCCTATGACCAGCGCTAGCCCTGCTGCCCCCCAGCCCCAAGCTGGCGGCACGGACCGGGCAGCGCCGGCACCTCCAGGCGGCACAGCACGAGAGGAGGGCACCGCCAAGAAGACGGCGCCGAGCTGCCCGCGCCCATCCTTGCGGAGGAGCTCACCGCTGCCGAGGGACCCACCGTCACAGCAGCACAAACCTCAGCCTGGACCACGGCGCCCCGTGGAATTTGTGCCCTGCGTGGGGCCCCGGCTGCGTGGCGGCGCGGCACCCACAGTGCTGGAGGAGTCGCTGCCCATCACAGCCGAGCAGCGGCCCGAGCGGGAGCACTTGAAGAAGCTGGCCCAGGAGGAGCGGCAGCGGGCGGCCCGGCAGATGAAGATCGGCCCCGTGCAGTTCCTGCTGCAGCGGGAGATAGACATGGCCATAGCCGACCGGTACGGCTACCCGTAACCCTGCGCTCCTCACCGGCCCCGCAGCACCAGGTGGCAGCCGCAGCGTTCCAGGGGCACCACCAGCGGCCCCATCCCTCCCCTCCTGAACCCAGCCGTCCTCCACAGTCAGCAGTGCGGTGGGATGGGACGTTGTCTGGGCGCTCAGCTGTGGTGGGATGGGAATTGTAGGATTTCTGTCGTTTCTGTTTCTCGTTGTATTCTCAGATAGGTTATTAAAAGCTCTGTGTTTGTGTTTTGCTACGTCCCTCTGCCTGCAGTCATTTCTGCTGTGTCACAGCCCCCCCAGCTCCCCACGCCCACCTCCGGGGCACCACAGATGGCCACGGTGTCCCTCAGCTGCCACCAGCAGCCCCAGCCCTCCTCTCTCCCTGCAGTCCTTTGTGCAGCGGGATGCAGAGGGCGTTTCACACAGCTCACCTGCGCTGCCCAGTGCTGTGAATTGCCGTGGGGATGGGCAGCAGGCAGGGCACAGGTGGATGGAGGGGAATCGCATCAGGTCACCGTGGCCAGCAGAGACTCCGGCAGTGGCAGCAGGGGCAGTTCCCATGGAGGGGGGAAGCAGGGGCAGCTGGGCCTGCCGTGCAGACGGACAGACAGGCATCAAGATGCCTCCCACGTCACGGCTCTTCTGCCCCCACGCTGTTTGGCTCCTGGCAGTTTTGTCTGCAGATGGGGACCCGGCCAAGTCTGTACACCCAGACCAGGATTTTCCAGCTGGCGGCCGCTCACGAGTGCTGTCCCCCAGGGCTGGGGACTGGGGCCACTCCTACTGAACACCTTTATCAATGACTTTGAGCAGGGCATTGAGTGCACCCTCAGTGCATTCACAGACAGCACCGAGTTCAGAGGGAGCACTGCTCTGCCAACCTGAGCAGTTCTGTGCTTCTACGCTTCTACGCTGCCATATCCATTCCAAGTCCATCCCGTATCCAGAGCCCAGCCCATATATATCCCATTTCCCGATATCCCATCCTGTATCCACCCCATATCCATATTCCCACACCCCACATCCCAATCCCACATTCAACATACCAACCCCACATCCCAATCCCACATCCAACATCCCAACCCCACATCCCAACCCCATTTCCTATATCCCACATTCCAACCCCACATCCTATATCTAACATCCCAACCCCACATCCTATATCCCACATCCCAATCCCAATTCCAAATCTCATTCCCCATCCCTCATTCCATCCCCTTCTCACACCTGTCAATCCCAATCCCGAATCCCAATCCCAATCCCAATCCCATCCCCTACAGCAATAGGGAACACTCCGAGCCCCGCCCCCACCGCAGCTCCGTCCCGCCCCCGGCCTCTCATTGGTCAGGGGCAGTTCCGGCTTGTCGCAGCATCTCATTGGTCAACGGCAGCTCCGTCCCGCCCCGGGCTCTCATTGGTCAGGGGCATTCCGGCTCATTCGTGCCTCTCATTGGTCAACGGCAGCGCCGCCGGCTCCGATTGGCTAAGGCGCAGCGCGCGGGAACGGCCGTCGGCAGCCGGCTCTCCCCTCAGACGGTGCAGGTCCCACAGCTGCTGCGCGCCGGAGCTGTCCGGGCAGCACCGAGACGGAACTGCGGCACGACGGGAGCGGTGCTGAGGACAGCGGCGCCGGAGGTGCGCGGGAGAACGGCTCCGGGCCGGGGCCGGGGAGAGGAGCCGGCAGCGCTGCTCGCGGTGCCCCCGGGGCTGAGGTGGGCTGTGGGTGCAGGGGACGGTGGGGGAGATCCGGAGGGATGTGGGAGTTTAGGGGCTGTGGGGATATTGGGGGGTGTTGGGGGATGTGGGGTACTGTGGGGCTACAGGGGGGGGCATGGAGTAATGTGGGGATATTGGGGGCTGCGGGGGGTCTGTAGGGGTGGATATGGGAGGATATCAGGGGCTGTGAGGAAACAGGAAGTTCTGAGCGGAATATTGGGGATGATGGGGGCTGTCGAGGGCTCTGGGGGATATGGGAGTATAGAAAGCTGTGGGGGACTATAGAAGGGGTATAAGAGGATATGGAACAAGAGGGGGCTGTAGGGGTGATATAGGGGACTGTGGGGAGGCGTGGGGAGTATAGGGCCGATGTGGGGCTGTGGGTGGCTATAAGGGCTGGGGGGGCTGTAGGGAGGTTTTAGGGCTATAGGGGGCTGTTGGGATCTCAGGGGGCTATAGGGGCGAAATGGGGCTGTAAGGGGCTATACAATTCTATTGGGGAGGTACAGGGAGTTGTGGAGGGATATAGGGAGATATGGGGGAATAGGGGAGGTGTTAGAGGGGGATATAGAGTTATAAGGGGTTGTGGTGGCTGTGGGAGAGTTTGGGGTGATAGGAGGCTGGGGGCAATAGAGAGGGATGTTGTGCTATAAGGGGTTGTGAGACGGGCTGTGGGGGGGATATAGGGTGGCAGTGGGAGGCTATTGGTGGATATAGGGAGAATGGGGCTATAGGAGGTATATGGGGGATATGGATCTCTACGGGGTTGTGTGGGTCCGTAGGGTGATACGGGGCTATAGGGTGGGCTATAAGGGGATGTGGGGCTAAAAGGCTCTCCCTTCCTTTGCCCCCTTCCTTTCCTCCCTCCCTTTTCCCTTTCCATAGTAGGTGGGTGAAGTGCTGGTCATGAAACTTAAATCAGAATTGAAGTTGTATTGGAATGGAATATGATTGTTTTGTGGTCTTAAATCTGAAACGTGTTTTCTCCTTAGATGCAGGTATTGTTTAATAAGGACTGAAGGTTTCAGTATGAAGTCTCCTGATCAGGAAGAAAGAGGAATGTTTTTGGAGGACTTAATCACGAATGGAGCTGCTGCTGAACCTCACTTGCAACCAGCAAGCAGGTGAGGACGTTGTGCATCTCAGCCTTTCCTCGCTGCAAGGTACCAGCGATTCAGTCTGTGCTGTGCGGTGATTTTCCACCAGCACTTCTGCTCGTCTGTGAGCACCAGGCATCCGCTGATGTTGTCTGATGGCTTTAGGCTGGACAGACACGGGAAGCACTGCCTGCAGCAGCAGCAGCTGAGCTCCGTGTGCCAGAGGAAGGAACGCGGCATCTGGAGGAGCAGGAAGAGGAGACCCCGCGTGACTCTGTGTGTTCTGCAGGGCCGTTCCTCACAGACTGCCGCTGACAGACGCTGGGGCACTGCAGAGGAGGAGGTAAAGCAGTGTTGGTGTGTAATGCCGTTTGATCTGTGTGCATGCAGAATGTCCCCGTGTTTGTATTTCTCAGTGTTTGTGGCCCTGCTTTTGTTCAGAGGTGTCAGACCTCTATGCGTCTGCTCGGTTGCTCCCCCTCCAGCCAGTTTGAAGAAGTCTCTTATTGGAAGTGTTTAAGATGGTGAATTTTGCTAGACTAATGTCTAGCTTTCTAATTTTGCTTGTCTAATGCAACCTGTTATGTGCAAGGTTTGTTCTGCAGGTCCTGATGATGGCACAGGCAGTAAACAGCCCGGAGCTCATCGCTGGGGAGAGGCTGCGCATTGCGTTGTGAAGGGAGAGATGGAGGAGGGGTTTGAACAGCGTCGTGCAGGAATGGAAAGCTAGTAAGAGAAGAGGGCTGTTCTGAGAGCAAGGGCTGTCCGGCTCATCTCTGTGTTCTCCCAGGAAATGCAAGGCAGAGCTCTCTGCTCTCTGTTTTTCTTGCAAGGCTGCGGCCCTTCAAAGTGCGCTGTGGATGGGTAGCGCGATGACAGCCCAAGGATGGCAGCAGGAGATGCAGCGCAGCCCTCTCCAGCAACAAGGTGCATTGGTTTGTCTTGCTTATTCTTGAAGTAGAAGGTGTGTTTAGCTTCCAGTCGGTGGCTCGATAGCATGTTTTGAAGGCTTTGGAGCCCTTCCTCCGTGTTACTCACATCCTAAGGCAGTGAAGTACTTCCCTTGCTCTGTAGGAATGGTTCCTGTGCAAGGGCATGGTCGTCTGCCTGTACAAGATACTGAAGGTGATGGTTTTGTGACTGATATTATGGAGTTGGCATTTTGATGACAGTTGCACCTGCTAACGTGCAGCTCTTTCTGACACAGGCAGGAGGCGGGCAGCGGTACTGCAGCTCCTCTGGCAGCTTTGCAGCGGAGTTGGGAAGCAGAAGATGTGCATTTGAAAGAAGAACTCAGTTCCTGGGACATTCCCCTGTTCTTCCCCTAGCTGTCCCCTTGCCTCAGCCCAAATTCCCTTTGCATTCCTGTAGGTTTCCCTTTCATGCCCCTGGCTGCCACTTGTTTTCCCCAAGTTTGCCCTTTCCTTTCCCATGAAGCTCACCCATAATTCCCTCAGAGCCCCAATAACCCACTCAGTATTTCCCCAGCAAGATCCCTGTAGGCACTCCGCAGCCCCCCACAGACCCCCATAGCCCCTTCAGGACCTCCTCAGTCCTGGCACACCTCCCCCATAGCTGCCTGGAAACATCCCATACCTCCACAGACCCAGCAGCACTCCTTGTCCCTTACTGGACTCCCACTGAGCCCTCTTATTTCCTCCCTCTGTCCTCCCTTGCCACTTCCAGGATCCCCCTGGGATCTCACAGACCCCCACAGTCCCTGACAGGACCCAGGTCACCATTCCAGGAATCCCGTAGACCACCTGGGGCCCCTCCTCACCCCCATGTCTCCCCAGATCCCATACAATCGCACAATGATGGGTCAGGGCTGCCTGCTGCAGGAGAGGAATTTGGAGCTGGAGAAGGGGTAGGGTACAGATGTGGGTAAAAGTGATGTGTGGGGCATTGGAGATATGGGGGCACAGGAACATGGGAGGACATGGGGATATAGGAGTGCTGCACAGCAGAAGGCAACGTGTGAGGTAAAGGTGGGACTTGTGGGCACGGGGACATGGGGTGGCATGGGGACGTAGCGGGTCTGGGGGCATGTGGGGAAGGGTTTGGGGTCAGAATGAGGGATGTGGGGCAGTGTTGGAGTGCACGTATTGATTTCTTCCTGAGAGGGGGTTGGGGTCCCCTGTGGCCCAAAGGTGGAGCCCTGATCCATAACCCCACATGACCCCATAACCCCATAGAACTCGGCATGACCCCAAGGCTCCACATGACCCATAGCCCTGTGAGCACCATCAGCCCATATGAGGCTGTGGACAGTGATGGGTCTGTTCTTGGGTTCTTCAGGGGGTACTGTAGGGTGGCTGTTGGGCTGTTGTCTCTATCTGCTCCTGTGCCTCATCTTGCCCACATCTTGGGGAGCATGATGGGGGTCAAAAGTGCAATGGGGGGCTATGGGGTAGGTCCCACGATGGGAGCAGATTCACCACCAGCTGCGTGTGAGGGAACAACAGCCCCACTGAGCTGTGGGTATGTCCCATAGCTGCCCCATAGCAGCCCCAGAGCCATCCTAGAGCAGCCCCAGAACAGCCCCATCGCTGCCCACAGCCTGTGGCCAGCAGCAGTTCCACCACAACGGTGTGTTGGGTAAAGGCAGCTCCTAGGTGTGGCTCTGCCCCATAGCTGCCCCAGAGTGCCCCTATAGCCCTCCCATAGGTGTCCTTTAACTGCCCCACAACCCTGTACGACTTACCCACATCCCAGCAGATCCCCCCAGGTGCCTTTGGGATGTGCAAGAAACACTCTCATCTGATGTTCCATTAGGCACAGTTCTCGGTGCAGCAGCAAAGCTCATTTCTTATTGCTCAGATGATTTCCAGCAGCACACAGGTGACACACAGGGCCATGCTGACCACGGCAGGGTGCAGCTTCTTGTTGCAGAGTCCTGTAGTGGTGGGTGACCGTGCAAAAGGGGAATCCCACTGCTGATGTTCTCCATCCTTCTCCTTCTGCACCACCATGCATTCCTTCCTCCTCGTGCTGCGCTGCCATCAGAGTTCTTCCTGCTCCAACAGCCCCAATCTGGGATACCTTTTTTGTAAGGAGTTCTGCTGTTTGTTCTGCAGCTGACTTGAATTTCTTCTCCCGCTGTCTTGTGAAGGAGTTGATTTGCTTCAGTCCATCCCAGCTCCATTCCTGGTTCAAGTCTCCCTCACTGCCATGCAGCACTGCAGCAGCCAAGCTCCAGTCCCTTCCCCAGCCTCAGTGGGATCAGTTTGTTCTGTTCTCGTCCACTTAGAGGAACAGAAGCTACCAACCCACCAACCCTTGTGACAGGTATTTCCCTGCAGAAGCATTCCTGTCCTTCTTGTGGCCCCTTTGTCCAGTTCCCAGCTCTCCATACTGTGGAGTATGGCTGCAGCCCACCTCATGGCTTCTTTGGGGCAGCTCTGGGGCAGCCACACCCCGAGGAAGGAGGAGATGCCTTTTCCTCATACACAGCTGGTTCTATGGCCACATGGGGGGAGGACATGGGGTCGTGGGTCACATAGGGGTTTGTGCAGGGTCAAAGAGCTGTAGGTTTATGTGGGGTTATGGGGTGGCTCAGTGTTATGGGGTCAGATGGGGTTATGGATCACAGTGATGGGGTCATATGGGATGGTAGGGTCGTGGGGTGACATGGAGTTATGGGCCACATGGGTTATATAGTCAAGGTGAGGTGGGGGCAAGGATCCCAGAGTTCTGGGGCCACATGTTTTGGGGTTGCAGTGTGATGGGGGCAGGCAGGGTCAGGGAGTCACAGGGACACGTAGGGGTATGGTTCACACAGGGCTGTGGGTCACGTGCAGCCATGGGGTCACACACATACAGGGTTATGTGGTCACCTTGGGTTATGGCTCATGTGGGGTTATGGCTCAGGGCCCAACCTCTGGGCCACAGGGACCCCCAGTCCAGTCTCACAAAGAAAGAAATGCGCTCCAACACCGCCCCACACCCCCTTTTTTACCCCAAAATGCTCCCCACATCCCCCCGTTCCCCCTGTGTCCTCATACAACTCCATACCCCGTGTCCTACCTCCAGCCAACATCCTGCCTTCTCAAGAGCAGCATTCTGCCCCCACAGGCTGTGTTTTCATATCCAGCCCATGTCCCTATATTCCCCATAGCACCCCACAGAGCCCCAGATCTCCTCAAGGACTTTCTCAGACTCAGTACGCCTCCCCCAAAGTCTGCCTGGTACCTCACAGAGCCCCACAGTCCCCAGCAGCACCCCATGTCCCCCACTGGGCTCCCTTTCAACCCCATATTTCCTCCCTCGGACCCCCCTGACCCATTCCAGGCCCCCCCTGGGATCTCACAGCCCCCCACAGTCCCTGACAGGACCCCCATCACCGTCCCAGGCCCCCCATAGCCCACCCGGGGCTCTGGTGCTGAACCCGGCATCCTCAGGGAGCTGTGCCGCAGTGCTTCACCCTGAGCCCTTGTGCAGTGCTGCAGATCCCAGGGCAGTGGGTGCTGCTCTGCATGTCCCCGCCCGGCCCAGGAACGCCACCCCTGCGCTGTCTGTGAAAGTCTTGTCTTGGCTCCTGGCACATCTTCCATCTGCAGAGCACATGAGGAGTGTCCCTCAGACTGTGGCTCCGGGTTAACCCTGCAGTGTCCAAACGAGGAATCCCGCAGCAACCCGCATCTCAGGATGGGGCTGCAGCTGTGCCCCAGTGCCTTCATTAAAGGTGTCCTTGCACACGTGCATGTGTTTGCACACAGGGTGTGTGGATACACGTGCGTGTGCATGCACAGGGGTGCAGCAGCTCTGCCTCCGAGCCTCGTGGGCCCGCAGGAGACACATGGCTGTGGAGGTGGCTGGGAGCGCACTGCTGGCTGCAGAGCTGCTGGGTGGTGACAGTTTGAAGGGTGAGCGGGGAAGGGGGCCCCTTCCATAGCATCACAGAATCACTCAGGCTGGAAAAGACCTTCAAGATCATCAAGTCCAACCACAACCTAACCATCCTACCCTAACTCTAACAACCCTCAGCTAAATCACGTCCCTGAGCACCACATCCAAACTGTTTTTAAACACATCCAGGGATGGTGACTCAACCACCTCCCTGCGAGCCCATTCCAGTGCTTCACAACCCTTTCTGTAAAGAAGTGTTTCCTGATATCCAGCCTAAACCTCCCCTGGTGCAACTTGAGGCCATTTCCCCTTGTCCTGTCACCTGTCAGCAGTGAGAAGAGACCAGCCCCGCTCTGCTGTAAGCACCTTTCAGCTACTGGAAGAGAGCAATAAGGTCTGCCCTCAGCCTCCTTTTCCCCACATTGAACAGCCCCAGTTCCTTCAGTCTCTCCTCGTAGGCCATATTCTCCAAGCCCTTCCCCAGCCTTGTTGCCCTTCTTTGGACCTGCTCCAGCACCTCCATGTCCTTTCTGTACTGAGGTGCCCACAACTGAACACAGCACTCGAGGCGAGGCCTCACCAATGCCGAGTACAGGGGCAGGATCACTTCCCTGGTCCTGCTCACCACTGCATTCCTGATGCAAGCCAGGATGCCATTGGCCTTCTTGGCCACCCAGGCACACTGCTGGCTCACATTCAGCCGACTGTCCACTGACCACAACTCTTTAGGCCTGGCCATCCAGCCAGTGTTTCACCAGCAGAGCGTGCGCCCATGCAAACAGTGGGCAGCGAGCTTCTCCATGGGAATGTTGTGGGGGACAGTGCAAAGGCTTTCCTGAAGTCCAGGTAGACCACATCAGCAGCCTTACCTTCATCCACTAAGCGGGTCACCTTGTCACAGAATGACATCATTCTATGTGGAAGGAAAAGTGATGCAAGTCCCATGGGGCCAATGTGAGTAGAAATGGGGTGGGGAGGTTGAGGAGGACATTTGTCCACACATGACAGAGCAAAGCTCATTAGCGGACATCCTGGGTCAATATCAATTCCAAAGTGCTGGTTTAGATTTTTGTTTAAACTGAACTATTAATAAATAAATAAATAGAATTCTTAAATGCCCGTTGTTCTCTTCCCCTTTTAGCTCCCTCCAGATACCTGTCCAGTTTGCTGCACAAGTTCTGAACACCTGAAGAAGATGACAGGAAGGCACAAGGCTCAGGAGGGCTCTTCAGGTTGTAATGGGTCCCACGGGGCATTTGCTGCTGAGTCCATCAACCTCCAGTGCAGAGAGAAGATTGCACAAAATGCCCAAGAAGACAAAGTCAGAAAGAACAGTGAAGTTTCCTGGAGTCTTAATGGGCTCCACTGAGGGCCATTGACAAGCAAGCTTCCCCAGGGACTTGTTAGAGCAGATAATTGGAAGCCATGATTGCAGGCAGACCAAGGCACTGGGATGGTGGCTGTGATGCTGAGCAAAGCCTCCTTTGTCTTGTGAAGCAGAAAGGCCAAGGCCTGATCCCCAGAGCCTTGGCAGGGAGATCGTGTCCCTCATGCTGGCTCAGGGCCCTTCCTGGGGCAGTGGGATGGAGGTTTGTCTGATGTCAAATGAAAGACCAGGGGACAGCAGTTCCTAGACTCTGCATGGGGTGCAAGGATGCTGTGAGGCCCAAGGTCCATGTGGGCAGTATCTCATCCCCAGGATGTGGGATGTGAGAAGGGCCCAGTCTGAAGAAATTATTCAATCACAATGGAACTTTGAACTACAGATCTCTCAGGCCCAAGGTGGAGGCACCATTTCTTCATTGGTAGCATTTGGTTCTGGGGATGCCGTGTTTGATGCTCACCCACATGCAGAGCTCCTGTCTGACTGCAACACCACTGTGCTCATATCAGCTGTGATGATACAGTGGAGCTGAGATCACTGAGCTTGTCTCCCCTTTACAGCACAGTGACTCTGACATCACTGCAATACTGACCACTGCCACAACTCAGTAATTCTGACATCACTGCTCTCCACATTTCTGAGACAACACCGTGACTGTGGTGTCACTGAACTCCTACCCACTGTGACAGCACAGTGATCCAACATCACCGTGCTTGTACCCACTGTCATAGAATCCTAGGGCAACCCGCAATGGAAAGGACCCATAGTGATCATCAGGTCCAACATTTGGTTCCACACGCCCGTCCTAAAAGGAGAGCATATGACTGAATGTGTTGTCTTGTTACAGATTTACCTAGATCAGTGTGTGTCCATGACAGAGGGCAGAAGGCTTGGCAGTTCCAGTGGCCAATAATAAATAACATCAAATCAAATCAAATCAAATCAAAATATTATAATAATAAATAAAGTAATAAAATAATAATAAAATAATTTTAAAAAGCAGCAAAGATCTAAAGAGGAAACTTATTTTTACTAAATATGATATTGGAACGTAGATAACACAATGTTTTAAAATAAAATTGGAATTTAGGGTAATAAATCAAATATAATGAGAGAGTGAGTGTCTGAAACCAAAAGCCTTACACTGAACTGAAGGCGCACGGCTGGGGCGCGCAGCCACACACTGCCAGGCAGCAAGCAAGGGAGAGATCCCGGGACTTCCTCCCATGGCTTATCTTCCCCTCTGAACTCAGAGTCCTCGGGAAAGGCAGTTCTTCTCTTCTGAGAACCAGGTATCTAGAACAGTCAGTACACAGAACTGAAGTATTATCTCTAATACCTAATTTCCAGTGCTTTACATGATGTTATGATATGGAATACTGATACCAAGAGTCATAAAACCTTGACACCAGATGGGGCATTTGCAACTTGGCAAGGCGAACATGATCTGTTATGTTGTTGAACCATGCTTCTGGAATCAGCCTGTCTACTGGTGATTAATTCATCTGACTTCAAAGTACGTTTTGTAGAGACGACCCTGTTGTCTATCATGAGCTGTCAGCCCCAGAGCCCCAAGATCCTCACCAGGGAGAGCAGTGAGGAAGAGAAAATGACATCCTCTGCTGCTGAGCTGGGCCGGGCTCCTGGGACACAGGGAGCTCCTACAAGTGGGCAGTGCTGCAGAGAGACAGCTGTGCCCAGGAGCAGCTCTTCTGCACAGCACAGCCTGCAGGTGACAGGAGGAGAGGAGAGAAAGGAGAGAGGGATTGTAGGATGTGTATGGTGTGAGGAGGCGTTGAGCTCACTGCAGGAGCACTGCTCACAGCCTTTGACAAGGTAAGTCTCATTGCAGGCTTTGACTCTGCTGCCTGCCAGGCTCAGCACTCAGCACTCAGTCTGCCTGGGGAGCTGCCCAGGGCACTGCAGGGAGACGTGTGGGGGGAAGAAGCCCCCAGCAGGGCAGGGCAGAGGTCTTCTGCTGCTACAGCTGCAGCCTGGGGCAGGGGGATAACAGCTACACTGCACCACTGGCTGTTTTTTTTCCAAGGGTGCTTTGCAGGAGGAGAGACAAGATAGGGATTTTCCAACACCTGTTCTTAGGGAAGGAGAATGAGTTGGAGGCAGAATTCTGAAAGGAGATGTGAAATATGAACACATCTCTGAGAATCCTGAATTGTACCATTCACAATCTGCCCTTATATGAACAATCTCCTGAAGTGCTTTCAGCTGAAATTGCTATTGTTTTCTGCTGACATGAATAATGCGCTTATCCTGCAAACAGGCAGCTTTCTCTAACAGAAATTTAATTGCAGAGGTAGGGATGGGCACTGTGAGTGCAGACAGCATAAAGATATGAGGGATGGAAATTGATTGTAAGAGGAAATTATCTAGGAAGCTGAGATATGATTAGGAAATGAGAGGAAAGTAAGAGCTCTTTCAGCTTCTACTTCTTAAGGTACACTAAAACTCATGCAAGTAAATTGAAGATATGGAGTTAAATGAACATTTTTCAAAAAGAAAGAAACATTTCTATAGTACAGCAGGAGGAGAGTGTCTGCAAGTTATCTTGACTTCTGTCATTATTTTCTGCACTGTGAACAGGACTCCATGCCCAGGAACTACAGATGCCCAACAGCAGCTCCATCAGCGAGTTCCTCCTGCTGGCGTTGGCAGACACGCGGCAGCTGCAGCTCCTGCACTTCTGGCTCTTGCTGGGCATCTGCCTGGCTGCCCTCCTGGGCAACGGCCTCATCAGCACAGCCGTAGCCTGCCACCACTGCCTGCACACCCCCATGTACTTTTTCCTCCTCAACCTCGCCCTCCTCGACCTGGGCTGCACTCTGCCCAAAGCCATGGCCAATGCCCTCTGGGACACCAGGCACAACTCCTATGCAGGGTGTGCTGCACAGCTCTTTTTCTTTCTCTTCTTCATCTCAGCAGAGTATTGCATTCTCACCATCATGTCCTATGACCGCTACGTTGCCCTCTGCAAGCCGCTTCATTATGGGACCTTGATGGACAGCAGAGCTTGTGCCACCATGGCAACTTCTGCCTGGGGCACTGGGGCCCTTAATTCTCTTCTGCACACTGCCAGTACATTTTCACTGCCTCTCTGCAAAGGCAATGCTGCACAGGTGTTCTTTGTATTATTCTTATTTTCTGCAGAGATTTTTCTTCTCACCATCATGTCCTATGACCGCTACGTTGCCATCTACAAGCCCCTGCACTACGGGACCTTGATGGACAGCAGAGCTTGTGCCACCATGGCAGCAGCTGCCTGGGGCACTGGAGCTCTCTATTCCCTGCTTCACACTGCCAACACATTTTCAATACCACTTTGCCAAGACAATACCGTGGACCAGTTTTTTTTGTGAAATCCCCGAGATTCTGAAGCTCTCCTGCTCAGAATCAGACTACCTCAGGGAAATTTTGAATATCTATTTTAGTCTTTGCTTAATCTTCGGTTGTTTTGTATTCATTGTGCTCTCCTATGTGCAGATCTTCAGGTCTGTGCTTAGGATGGCCTCTGAGCAGGAACGGCACAAAGCCTTCTCCACATGCCTCCCTCACATGGCCGTGGTCTCCCTGTTAGTCAGCACTCTCTTGTTTGCCTACCTGAAGCCACACTCCCTTTCTTCTCCATCCCTGGACCTGGTGGTGTCATTTCTGTACTCGGTGATACCTCCCACAGTGAATCCTCTCATCTACGGTGTGAGGAACCAGGAGCTCAGGGATACCCTGAGGAAACTTTGGGAAATCCCAAAGTGTTTGTTACTTCCTAAAATGTGCATTTTCTTTTAAATATAGTTATTCTTATAATGCTATTATAGTCAATTATGTATTTTTACCCAGTCATCTCATGTGCCTACAGCACTCGGCTTCCCATGCCCATAAACACAATGAAGAGGACAGCAGAAATTCATTTCTCTCAGCTCACTTTTCTTCCCTTCTCCTCTAGAGCTGGAGGAGAAACCCCCTTACGCAGGGGGGATCCAGGAGTCAAGAGCCTAAACAGCAGCCCAAAATTCCTTGGAGGCTGCCCCCACTACTCAGTGAGCTTCTGCTCCTGAAGTTCTTTACTATGAGAGTGGTGAGGTGCTGGAACAGCTGCCCAGAGAGATTGTGGATGCCCCCATCCCTAGAGGCATTCAAGGCCAGATTGGATGGGCAGACTGGTCTAGTATGAAACTGGGAGGTTGGTGGCCCTGCATGTGGAGTGGGAATTGGAGATTCATGATCCTTGAGGTCCCTTCCAACCCTGGTCATTCTGTGATTCTGTGGTTCTGTGATTCTGCTCCTTCAAGTCATGGCTGCTGCTTTCCTGGGGCCATGACGATGGACAAGGGCAAGATGTGGTCGTTTGAGTGCTGCTCTCTTTCCACTTCCATGCTTTCCTATTGTACCTCTTCACTCCTGGTAACCCTCGGGTCTCACATGAATTGACAGCAGTCCGGTTGTCTCCACAGTGGCATCCAGTGGCACCCAGTGTCAGTGAGGTAGCAGGCAGGAACAGGCAATATGTACCAATGTGTCAGAGTTTGTCTCGCTGCTGCCAGCACCATAAGACAAGGGGCTGCTTGTCACAGACTAGGAACACGACACAGGGTTCTTGTGCAAAAATTCTCCTTTATTTTCCCATGCAAGGTTTTTATAGTCTAACACATGTATTCAGGACATTTCCACTAACAATCCATTGGCTAGAAAACAAATAAGTTTCAAAACAGATCTTCATAGCAGCAAGCTTATCTTACGCTTAGATACTGTAAGAAACATGCTCAATGTCAACAATTTCTAATCAGGCAAAGATCTCTGTGAAGAGCAGTTTGTTCATTACTGCAATAATGGGCGCACAGCTCCTACTGACCAGCAAGAAATAGCACAACTAGTAAGCAAAATCCATCCCGTTACATACCCTGGGTCTGACGCAGGTAAAGCCTCTCCTGGCACTCATTGGTTGAGCATCTCAGGCTCACAATCTTCTAACACTATGGCTATGTTACACTTCCATAGCTATGTTACACTTCCATAGTTATGTATACACTTCAACACGTCTGCTACCAATCCATTGTATTTTGGTATGTTCTGGACATTTTATTGTGATAGGAGGACAGTATTTTCACTTGTTCTGTCTCTCCTTTACTCTACTGCTTGTACCAATTCTACCTAGGTCGAAACGCCCCAGTCTCAACTTGACTCTGTTCAGGAGTTTTCTTTGTTAAAGGTTTCTTATCCT